GCTAGTAATAGTCTACTTAAGGGACTTAAACACAGACTACTACTAATCCCTCTATTACTAAGGAACATCTTTGCTAGTAAGATTGTAAAGGGGCTAGACAATAGTACTAAAGTCTTAAATAAAGTATTAGTAATAGTTTACAAACCTAAGAAACACTTAGACCTGTTTCAGGTTCTAAAGTTGTAGTTAGTTCTAAACTATAGTTACCTTTACTGAATCCATGTAGACCTCTCCTCTACCAATCACAAAGCCTAGATAATCTACTGACTCTTATACAAAAGAGTACTTTACTTCTTAGAGGAACAGTTTATTATCTTAGAGTTACTATAGAACTGCTCAGATTAGTTAGTAATAATACTCAACTGTCTAAGTAAAGATTAGAATGTTGTTCAGATACACACTAACATACTCTGAGTTAATCAGATCTGTAAGAATGTAATTCATGAATAACTAGAACATTACAAGTAAGTTAGTTAGTCTGAAGAACATTATAGTTAGTTTGTACAATCTGTAATTAGTTTAGAATGTAACCTTCTACTCATCTCTGTCTCAGATCCAAATATTATTATACCTCTATTAAACATCCAACTTAGTAAAAACCCTAGATGTATGTGTCTTATTAATGAGCTCCTGAATTAGGGGGAGTAAGTACTTGTTTTTAACAGTACCCTTATTAAGATAATAATAATTCTAAACTAAACAGAGCTTCCTATCTTTCTTTTTGACAAAGAAGAAAGGAGAGACTATAAGAGACTTTAAGGGTCAGATCCAGCTGTTCTGAAGATTTTCCTAAAGGAACTTATTAAGTACCTCCTACTTGTCTCTGTTAAGTAGGTAGACTTTACAATCCTTAGGTTAGAAACTCTTAGTCAATTCAATTGTATAGTCTTAAGAGTAACATTTAGAAAGCTGGTTGAATTCCTCTTTACTAAAGACTTTAGAGAATTCTTGGACAAAATCTAGTAGGCTAGGTCTATGTACATTCTAGAGTAGAGTCATTCTGAGAGGGTTCTAAACTAGTTCTGTCTTAGACATCCTTCAGATTAATATTGTTCTGTCTTAACTAGAGTATGTGTTTACATATTTATTCTAGTCAAAGAAGAACAACTAGTCACCTTTATTAGAACTGTTAGTAACATTAGAAGTGTCTGTATCTACTTAGGATAGTAGTATAAGATAGTTGTAAGACTCAGAACACTAATTGAACACAAGTGTCTACTCTAACTAGTTAATAGTAGGGTTGTAAGCCTTAAATCATTTAAATCTAATAAAGATGTCTGTCTTTCTAAGATTAGTGACTCTAAACTTAATACTTTCCTCATGATCCTAAATGGTCATCTGTAGTTGGACAAACTTAGTAATTCAACCATTCTAGTTTAGAGTTCTGTCTATATTATATACTAGGATTGGAAGCAGAATGTGTTAAGTAGAAAGGTAGTATTCCTGTATAAAGGCCTTATTAATACACAAACTAGTACATTTACTGTCTACTAGAGCTATTGTTTAGATCTGGAGGGATCCTAAGAAGGGAGCTAAGAGGATAGGGATCTGGAGCTAATGTTTAGAACATTCTCTAATAAATTACTACTTGTTCTAAAGGGAACACACAGCTTGTATAGTCTTATTGTCTAAGAGGGTAAGTATATACACTAACATTTCCTTATTAACCTCTCTCTTTCAACAAGGACAGACTCATGTCCTTAACTGTAAACTCAGCTGAGACTATCTCTACTTAATACTATAGACAAACTACTAAGTAGTAAACAGGGCTGAGTAGTATTCTAAACATTCTGAGTTCTTAGAACACAAAAGTAATAGGTTAGATTGTACAGATTTAGACTTGGATAAAGTGTAAAGAGAAGAATCAAAAGAATCAGAAGAAATAAGAGAACTATCTACTTTTGTTTTTAACTTTTTTCTTTTTAATAAATAATTTTGTTAATTTACTTTTTCTACTTTTTCTACTTTTCTTACTTTATTTACTTCTAATCCTACAGTATCTATTGAGTCAAAAGTAGTTGTTAAAAAATCTGAGTTATAGCCCTTTAGTACTACATTTACTATTAGACCTTTACAAAATCCTAGAGTATATAGTTAGAGTTTAGGAGTTCTAAGGTGACTTCTAGATTTGTAGAAAAGGCTTCTTACTATAAATCCTACTTGTTACTCATTATTACTCTAATGACCTGATAGATATACTATTACTTTTGTAGACAGTCCTTAATTTAGTATTCTGACTTTCTGTAAACAAAGTATACTCCTTACTTTCAGGCTTCTTTAATATCTATCAGAACAGATTGATTGTAAATTACAGATGGATCAATCTAAGGGCTCAGAACTGTTAGAGCTGAATGTATGTGTAAGTATTCTGTACAGACTTAACACATTCAAGCTACAGCTTAGTCAAAGGAGATAGTGTATGTCTTCTAATCAGTGTAAGTAATCAGTTCTAGTATTATTCTAAGAATCTTATCAACCAGTTCTAGGTGAAAAGCTTTTTCAAGCATTCTAATAAGAACATTATTAAACCTGAGTGTGAATCCTACCTTCTAGGCTAGGATATTAAACTCTTGAAAGAAGGTATTAGTAGAATGTTTGCCCTGTTATAGAGACACAAGCTTGTTCTACACATTGTACTTCTTATTCAGATTAATAAAGGAAGTACAGAGCTACTCTATGAATTCTAAATACAACTCATTATTCTGAAGTCAGATTAGACTTCTGATCTAATGTCCTTCAATCCAGTTCTAGGCCTAGGTGGCCACATTACCTTCCTTTATAAAGGAGAGGACAAATAAGACACAATCAAGATCTGAGAATAGATCAGTTAAAGTAGTAGCTACATATAGTTTAACTTAGTACTAGAAGTCCTTAAAGTACTACTTATTAAAGTCTAAAGGGTAGACTATATACACTTTCTTTCTAGAACAGGTTGTAACTTCTGGAACAATCAGAACAGGTTCTAAGGAGGCTAGGGGTACATAGTTGGTAAAGGTCTCTTAGATAGAGGTCTACATGTATTAAGCTAAGTCTGCTTGTAACTACTAATCTGACAGGACAGTAGGAGTAGTAGTTAGTGTAGGAGGGTCCATGTTTATACTACAAAGGAATCAACACTAAACTAAAAGGGGTAGTGAATAGAAGAAGGGTGGTAAAAAGGGAAAAGGGTTTAGAAAGTTTAAAATTTAAAAATGTAAAAAGGGTTGAGACAAAGAAAAGAGATTAGTACAATAGTGAGTACTAATACCTAAAACATAGGAGAGTTGTAAGATAGTAATAAGTAGTCTTAATCTAATGTTAGTAACAGTGTAGAGGGGATCTGAAGGCTTAGTAAGGGGACTCAGGCTACAACTATCTTACACAACAGAAATACAGAATACAAGTACTAAAACATAGTCAGAACTTACAGAACAAACATAGAGAGAGAGTGAGACAAGAGTAGAGTATATAGAGTGAGTCTAAGAGTACAGGACTACCTAGAGTAGACAAGATTAAGACTATAGGACCAGTCTGATCTTATACACTTATATATACTAAATTACACAAGAGTACTCAGGGAGTATGAGCTACTAAGAATGATGAGCCACAAAGAATGAAAGAAAGGAAGATTAAAGATAAAGGTACAAAGAATAAAGGGATGGACAAAGGGTAAGAGACTATAGAATGAGTAAAGAATGAAAGGGTGGTCAAAGGAACATAATAATAAAGTAAGGAGGGGTAGTAGTAAGAGTTAGTACACATATAGTTCATAAACAGTACCTCTGAGGGACAAAAGTCCTGAGTTCCAGTACAGAAGGGTGTAGAACCCTCAGAACTGAGAGTGTAAGAGTAGAGAACTGTAACACTGATCTTATACTTGTATATATACTAAACTATACTAAGACACACAAAGAATAATAAGTTATAAGAGATAATAGAAAAAGGGTCAAAAGTATGTAAACAAAGAATAAGGGACTAAGAAGGAAGGAGTAATACTCAGAGCAAATAAAGGAATATTAGTAGAGAGTAAGTAGAATAAGAATAGAGACAATTGTGTAAGTTAACCTGTATATAATTAGTGTCTTATATACTTAAGATACAGAAACTCTAAGTTCTGTCAGAACAGTCAGTTCTAAGAGTGTAAGTGTTAGATTGTAACAATAAACACAACTTGTACAAACTTTATATAGTATACTTAGACTAAATTAGTAAATCTTACTTATACTTTAAGTAAAATAAGTTATAGTAGAAATTTAACACTAATAGTTTAAATAGTTTTAAGTATAAGTTAAACATATATATTTTTAATTACTATATTTTATAAAATATTAACTATTATAAAACTTAGTATATAAGTACTATAGTATTAGACCTTTATTTAGAATTTTAAAACAGAATTTTTAGTACATTTCTTAGAGTATTAGAATTTTAGTAAAATATAAAGGTTTTGTCTAAGTATAGTTCTTTTTTTTCTAAACAGATACATAATACATTTTTCATTTTTTTTGTATATTTATATATAAATTACTTTAAAGAAAATTTATATTATTTAAAAAGAAGATATAGAGTAATATTAATAGAGAAAATAAAGGTTTTATTTATTTTTATCTTATTTTGTCTATAACATAACAAAAAAAAACACAATATTAGTAAGTGCCAGGTATTTTGAAAACAGTTATAATAATTAAAATATATATCAAATATACAAAACTTGTATTAAATAACTATAATTCAAATATTTAAAAGATACAAACAAACAAATAATATAAATACAAATGCTTTACAATTTATAATATATATTATAACAAGTTTACACTCCTATTACTTGTGTAATAACTTAAGAATTAAGTATTCTAACAACATGTAATAAACATTATTAATACAATAACATTAATGCATTTATTCTCTAAAAGTAATCTTAATAGTTAACTAAATATAAGAGAGTCAAAAGAGTTCCAGGACCTGTCTATCAAACAACATAGTAAAGCAAGCAATCATTTTAAGACAGTGTACTATTTTATTTCGCAGAGAAGAATTGTATTTCGGATAATAATATTACGTAGAAATTAGTCCTCATTTTGCTTCTAACCACTTAACAAGTTCTTCGCGTCCACGAACGGGTCCACTGCGTGGACCTCCTGAGTACGTCGAATATGAAGTAAGGAGACGTTCAGTTGCTAGCTCGTCAAGAAGATGTACATGTTGAGGTACTGTTGTTTGCGACCGTGATGTGCTGGCTGTTCGAGGATCCGTGATGAGATGCCTTGTACACTGCCGAAGTACATTGGTTAATGATGCAAAAAAATTCTCAAAGTACGAAAGCCATATATATACCTGCTTGAGCCCGAACCAAGCTCGAACAGCAATACCCTCTGGAACAGCTTCCACACGGGATGCAGGATCAATGTCCGGTTCCTCGGTCATGTCGATGGCCATTAGGAAGAATTTCAATGCAAGCGGAATATCTCCTGTTGTATACGCCACTTCCGCTGATTGAAGGACATAAAATGGGTTCTGCGGGGCCAAGAGTAATGCATGCTGAAGAGACCGCAATGCTGCATCATACCTACAAGTTCAGTCATGAATAAGGGTTTGACATTTCCAACGGGCGGGAATGTGGAGCAAAGTGATCTCGTACTGATTACACGACGAGAAGATATCTGCAAGTTCCAGCCAACCCTCTACATCAGTGTAGTACGTGTCCAGAAACTTCGAAAGTTGATCCACTGCTTTAGCAATGTCTCCCGAGCGACGCAAAACAACGATCTTTCGTTTCCAAGCTGCCTACAGGAAATGAGATTCATCCTCGGCGTAAATAGGGGAGACAACACACTGAGTTAGACTCGTCAGCATCAAGTAAGCCGTCATAGTAATCCAGCACGACCTCCATCGGAAGTGAAACCTCCTTCCTGATCCCGACGAGTACATCTACACGCGGAGAGCCTGGGAAACACTCTGTCAATGTGTCTATGCATTCCTGTAGGTTAATTCCACCCAATCAGATACCATATGCAAATATTGAAACACAGATACGCACGTCTGCGATGTCCAGATTTCCAACGTCAATCGCTGCGAGCGCAAGCTGCTCTAGCCATGTAGTCGAGTGCACATCACTAAGTGCGCTTTTTTTACTCAGCAACAGGGGGACGCCCGCATCGAGTATTTCCTGGGATTGTCGTGAGTTCTGTTGCCGAAAAGACGCGAGCTTCGCTAGAGCAGAGGTCAGCTGGGCAGACATGTGGAAAAAGGTACCTAAAGACAAGCTGCTGTCGAAGTTCACTTGAAACTTCATTCGTCACGAATATAAGATCACGTGGCTGAACATTGCAAAGTTGAAAGCCCGACAAATAAAATTAAAAATGGGGGGCTAACTGAGCTGACATAGAGAGCTGAATGATAAACTTTCAACGTATCTGGGCATGACGTCTAGCCCCGTACGAAGAATAAGCAATGCCGATATGCAAATCGTATGCTATTTCTTCCTGTCTTGGAAAGTACAACTTTGCGCCCTTCCGTGGTTGTTCCATTCAAGATTCATGCCGATATGGTGCTACTTAAGCTTTACTGGGCAAACAGATAAAGGGGACAAGGAAGCACAAAATACTAGATAGTCTTGTACAGCAAGATAGGTATGGTGGAAATGGAACGCGAGAAAACCGGCCCTAAGGCGTTGCGTCCCAATATAGAAACTCTAAACTCTGACACTGAGTCGACGCGTCTTTCATTGCGCCCCCATCGTCGTATCTCAACGTCCACACAGCGTTATGTCCTCGCCACCAATGGATTTTCCGAGCTCGGAGCTCGGTGATACCGAGACGCAAGAAGTTTCTGCAAGTGACGATAACCCCCTTTTCCTGGGCACGCCGTCTGCAACACCATTGCATAACGTTGCTGCTCGACGCGCTCTTGGTCTTAGCACACCCCGTCGTGCTCCCGGAAATGCATCAGATCTTACAAGCTCGCCAATTCTGAACTATCCAAGCTCCTCTTCTCCTGGAATGCGCGCTGCTGGAGCAGGGAAATTCCCGTCATCTACCGGGCTGCAAGAGTCAGACCCATTGCATTTTCCTTCGTAAGTTGTACTACTAATAGGAAGCTGTTCTCATTTTCTTCTAATTCCGCGACAGTAGCGCACTCTCTACTCCTGCTGCTGACGCCACAGGAGCGCCAAAGGATCGTCGAGGAGACATCCATTCTTCTCTTCGCGTAACGCCCACACCCAGTACCAGACCCACTGCCCAGAGCACAAAAAACGCCAATAGAGACATCGCAGGGCTCTTCATTCCTCCGTCATCAACAGGACAAATATCCGCTCAACAGCTTTCCGCAGCTATTCCTTCTTCAGAGCCAGATGAAATACGCGCAATCTGGGGAACGAATGTAAACCTTGCACAGACAATGCGAACTTTCCGTGAGTTCCTTCATGGTTTCAAACCGAAATATCGCATCGCTTTCAACCGAGAGAGCGGTTTGACAACATACCCGTTGTCTTCACCTGAGGAAGGAGAGCATCTTTTGTACGAAACATATTTGCGTCGTATGCGCCAAACAGGTCAAACGAATTTGAACGTCGATGTGATTAATATTCTATCATACCCTCCAAGCAAGAAGCTCCATAGCCAGTTGATAAAATATCCTCAAGAAGTGATTCCTGCTATGGATCAGGTGCTGAAGGATGTGATGATTGAACTGGCCGACGAGGATGCCACAAAAGGAGTGGAAGGTATGCAGGGTAAAGAAGGAGAGGAAGAAATGTCGGATATCTTGAGCAAAGTCTACAAAGTCAGACCATTTGGTGAGAAGCCTGGAAATATGAGGGAACTTAACCCGAGTGGTGTGTTACATTCTGTTTGTTGTCTTAGTCTCATTCATGAATGACTTTTAGATACCGATAAACTTGTATGCATCAAGGGTCTTGTCATACGAGCAACACCCATTATCCCGGACATGAAAGTTGCTTTTTTTAGATGTCTCACCTGCTTGCACACGGTACAGGTAGAAATTGACCGTGGACGAATTGATGAGCCCAGCCGCTGCCCACGTGATGTCTGCGCAATGCCCGGCTCGATGACCCTGGTCCATAACCGTTGTGAATTTGCAGACCGACAAGTGCTACGCCTTCAAGAGACCCCGGATGCAGTTCCAGATGGCCAGACTCCGCAGACTGTCTCGCTCTGCGTATACGACGAGCTTGTCGACGTCGCGAAACCTGGAGACCGTCTCATTATTACTGGAATCTTCCGCAGTGTCCCAGTACGCGTGAATCCTCGACAGCGCACGCTCAAAAGTCTGTTCAAAACTTTCCTTGACGTTGTGCACGTACGTCGTGGGGGTGGGGGCCGGCTCGGGTTTGATAAATCTACTCGACCAGGTGCTGCTGACCGCCTACCTGGTATTGGTTCTGCAGGTGTTGGCGGAGGTGATGACGAGGATGAAGAGGATGCCTACACTCGGGCAAGCACAGCTGAACCAGGCCAGAAATCGAGGAAGGAGGAGTTGGAGGCAATGCTTGTCGGGCTCAGCAAGAGACCGGATATCTACAATTTACTTGCACGGTCACTTGCACCTTCAATTTGGGAAATGGATGACGTGAAGAAAGGGATTCTACTTCAGCTCTTTGGTGGTACGAATAAGAGTGTTGCTCGAGGAGGCGGAGGAGGCGGCCCGAGATACCGAGGAGATATCAATGTCTTACTTGTTGGCGATCCTGGCGCAGGTAAATCTCAGATCTTGCAGGTATGGGGTCACTTACCTTGCTAAAGTACTGATCTGACTGTACTCACAGTATGTACACAAAATTGCTCCAAGAGGTGTTTATACATCAGGGAAGGGATCATCTGCAGTCGGTCTAACGGCATATGTTACTCGTGATCCCGACTCCAAGCAACTCGTCCTGGAAAGGTCTGCTTACGATCATGTATCTGAACCTGTCACGCTGCTAACAGTGAAATATGTATAGTGGGGCCCTTGTTCTGAGTGACGGCGGGGTCTGCTGCATTGATGAATTCGATAAAATGTCTGACTCTACTCGCAGTGTTCTCCATGAAGTAATGGTGCGCTTTTTACGTGCTCCTGCTCTACTTTTACTAATGTTGGCTTTTTCGCAGGAGCAACAAACAGTGTCAATCGCAAAGGCTGGTATTATTACAACATTGAATGCAAGAACGTCCATCCTAGCGGCCGCAAATCCGGTTGGCTCGAAATATGTCCAGGAATGGCCTATTACACGAAATATTGACCTGCCACCTACACTTATTTCACGTTTTGACCTCCTGTATCTTGTTCTCGACAACACTGACGAAGTTGCGGATCGGCGACTCGCTCAACATCTTGTCGGGTTATACCTTGAAGATGCACCAGAGACAGGTGGAAATGATACTCTGGTATTTATTTTTTAACTCGCTAATGGCATGTCTCTGACTTTTGTCTTCGCGCACAGCCTCTTGATGAACTCTCCGCATACATTACATATGCACGCTCTCATGTTTATCCCGTCATCACTGAGGAAGCCTCCAAAGAGCTCGTGCGTGCGTACGTTGAGCTACGGAACATGGGTCACGACCCGCGCACATCCGAACGACGCATTACGGCGACTACGCGTCAGCTTGAAAGCATGATCCGGCTTTCCGAGGCTCATGCACGAAGCCGCTTGTCCGGTTTCGTCGAGCTCGGCGATGTCCAAGAAGCGTGTCGCTTGATGCGCGATGCGATCCGCACAAGCGCGACAGACCCGCGTACGGGTCAGATCGACATGGATTTGATCAATACGGGCACAAGTCTGCAGCAGAGGAAGATGCGTCGAGATTTGCGTCGTGAGATCTTGAGTTTACTTGAGGGCAACTCTGGGTTGCGTGGTATTCGTTGGCTGGACCTCGTGAAGCAACTAGGAGGTCAGAGTAGCATTGCAATTGACGTAAATGAATTTGCAGAGACGATTAAAGGTCTTGAGACTGAGGGCATTGTGAAGGTCGTGGGAGAACGAGAGAGACGCACAATCAAGAAGGTGGAAGGGGCTTGACGAAGTAGCTTCGAGTCCGATAGTAGGTGTTGTAAGTTCCAGCTGAATCTATCTGAACTGCTCTATACACACTTGTTTGTGGTGAATGCTAGTATTAAATTACTGATTAATGGAAGTCTTTGGTTTACCATTTCGTACTGCCTCACTACGAACAGCCGTCGCAAGGGGGGTCACTGAATATTAAACCTATTCGACGCGATGCTACACAGGGTCATTCCTACGTTATGTAAGCGAGATATCATCACGTGATGCTATCGGATCATTCAGCGCGACGGACATGACACTAACGGACCTCTTGATGACCATGGCGGATTCTGGTGGTAAGCCCAGAAACAAGTCACGCTCTGAGAAGAAAGCACAGACCACTCAGCCGAGCAGGGTGGACAGGCTGAAGGCTGTTGTTCGTCGTCTACCACCTAATCTGCCAGAGGACGTCTTCTGGCAAAGTGTGCAACCCTGGGTGACGGATGAAAGTGTTTCATGGCGCACGTTCTATTCCGGAAAAGTCAGGAAGAAGTGAGTCTGTATGGCATGTTGATGACAAACGATTATTGAAAACACGTTTGGTGGCCCAGATACAACAAAGAGAACACACCCTCCCGTGCATATATTGCATTCAAGACTGCTGAACAACTTGCAACTTTCAGTCAGGCATACGATGGGCATATATTTCGCGACAAATCCGGTATGACCCCTAATCTGTCGTACCACTACTCTTACCGACAAGTCAAAGGCAACGAATCTGTTGCGATAGTCGAGTTCGCGCCTTCACAGAAAGTCCCCTCTGAAAAGCGGAAACTGGATCCAAGGATGGGTACCATAGATCAAGGTAACTCGCGCCCCCTCAATACGTCATTGATTTACACTCAGAATGACATATGGTCCATAGACGAAGATTTTATTTCATTCTTTACAGCACTAAATACCCCTGCCTCCAAAACGACTGAGACGGATGCGATTGAAGCGCTCGGTACGGCTGTCCTCAGTCCTGAATTAGTGCTGTGGCTAATTTGCAAGTGCTATAGTTGCAGCATCCCAGCCACCTCCGCAGCCAAAATCAACACCTCTTCTTGACGCTCTCCGTGCAGAGAAACAAGCGCAGCGTGACAGAGAGACAATACTCAAGGCACATGCCCACTATCGTGATAGGGACAGAGAAGACGTTGGTGGACGAAAAAGGGGCAAGCAGCCACAACAAGCCCAGGCCGGTGAACGTGATGAAACTGTGCATGGACCAAGTCCTGGAAAGAGGAACAGACGTGGCGGTAAGAGGGGTGAAGCACAAGCTACTGCTGCTCTAAAGGTCAAGGACAAAGAGGCCGTTTCAGTTGGACCCGCGAAGTCGGGTCCGAAGACCTTAGCAAAACCATCCGCCCAGCAAGCAACGGTAATCTCTACAAAGGATGTCGCTAGGGATACAGCACCAGACCGTCGACCTCGACCTGTGATTGGAGTCGGGCTTGCGTCTCGACAATTTGAAGCTGCATTGACTGGTGCTGGCGTATTTCCGGGAGGTGGGTCAGAACGGAAGTCACGGCGTGAACGCGAGCGTGAAAGAAAGGCGAATGAGACAGCTCTGCCTCGTGACGACACCCATAAGGCAGCAGAGAAACCAGAGAAACCGACGACAGCTATCCCGGGGAAGGATCGTTCGCGAGGAGGCCGTAAGCGCGGAGACAATTCCAAAAACCTAACGGGACCTATTGCAGCGAGCGGGGCGGAGAATGCAACAGGTACGAACAGTTCTATAGTTCAGTCGGCCCCCATCTTACTTGATCTTGTTATATTCTAACCTCAGAAGATCCGGTTCCCGTCATACTTTCTCGTACCAGCACCCAACCTAGTAAACTTCAACGTCAGACAACTGTCACGACTGAAGGTGCAGCATCTATGTCTAACCTTGCAAGTGGTAGTAGTCCTGGCATCCCAGGAGAAGGGCGTGGTGGAGGGCGTAGGGGAGGCTGTGGAAGAGGTGTGTCTCAAAGTGAGGCACCAGCTAGCAGCACTCCAGCTAGTAGTGTATAATGTACTAAAGACCTTCCAACCTTAATATTGGCTGCTCAATTACTCCATGTTTATTGGCTTGTAAAGCTATATAAGGCATACCACATATTGTTCTCTCTAATAATCTGAGTAAAAGTTTACAACAATCAAATGGCTAATCTTATTGTGTATATTATAAGTACAGTATGTTAGCTATACTGTATAGCCTATATAGTAGCCTTTGTCTTCACAATTGATCACTTATGAACAGAGAAAAAACCATTACAGAGCACCTCTCTGTAGATAATAACAAATAAGAAAAGTAAGAACAGTTAATAAAACTTTTATTCAAACATCTTCTCACCTCTATATGTCTCTAAATAGTGTGATCTAATAGTCTGTTCCTATATTCTATAGTCTTGTTACAATTTGCACTAAGAGATACAGGAAAAAACTAATAATAATAAAAGAAAAAGAAACTATATATAAAGTATTTATGTGTCAAGTTTGAGAAGGGAAGAAATCAGAAACACAAGTAGGCTAATACTGTCCCTTTTTACACTTACCTGCTTTTACATGTTTTGTATAGTTTTGTTTATGTGTACTAAAGTTAAATTGACAGTAATTACAAATGAAAGGTCTTTAGAGTACTTTATGTTAGACTATATAGTATTGTGAAAGAAAGGATGTTAGAGAGTAGGAGAAGTTACATAGTTAGTATTAGTAATAGTTAAGGATGACTAGCTTTGTGTATAAGATAGAGAGTAGGTAATGTGACAGAGGGACCAGTTCTATATGAGTAGTTTGAGTTGTAATAAATTGTGTTAGTTAGGAACATATATTGTAGACTATACTGTAATAGTTTAGTATACTCTGTTTAGTTTTAAAGAAGTATTTATAATCATACTGTTTGTACATGAAATGGTAGAGTGTTAGGCTGAACAGCTGAGTAGGAATGTGTTAGGATTGTAGGATTGGACCTATTTCATTTTCTTCATATCTTAGTCAGTTTTGTGAAAAACCAACATTACTACTAGATTTTCATAATTCTTAACATTTTATCTATCAATCTATAAAGTTTTATAGAGATCATCTTAGTATTGAGTGTAGGAGAGAGCTATAGAGACATGAGACAGTGTATACAATTATAATACAGCTAATCCATTTCTTGCCTAATATAGTAACTTGTACCTCTTTTGTACAATAGTCTCTTAGTCTATATTCTCTAATACACAACACTCTGTTAATTCTTCCTAGCCTCTAATGTGTCTGTTAGCTTTGTAATATTTGTCCTTATTATTTCTTTTATCTTATTCTCAAGTTTCATTCCTTACTTTACTCTTATTATCTAGTTATTATAAAAAGTAGTTTATAGATACAGTAGTTCCTTAGTTTTTTGACTCTTCTTGTATTCCTACTTGTTCTCTTAGTATAAATCCTAGCTGGTAGCTTTGAGAATATAGTTGGATTAAGGGTTACAGGTCTACATTTACAGTTTGAGAGTACTATTAACTTAGAGAACACATCTCCTCTAACATAAGAGTCAAAAAACTCATCTCTACCTTACTGTTTTAACAAGTGTAGTAGGAGTGCCCCAAGTACTCTCTCTTATTGAGACATCAAGCAAGTGTCTGCCTTATATACTACATAGTGAAGTCCAATAGTCTGAGACATTCCAAGTGTAGTAACTCTACATAAGACAATTAGGGATTTTCTAATCCAGAGCACAATCTAATACTCTCCTTCAAGCATTAATTAAGAACTAGGACTGTATGCCTAATAGTTTGTTTAGATGCTTGATCTGTAGGACATAGAGAGCTTTTGTAAGGATGTCTACTAATTGGTTCTGTGATTGAACATAGTATACATTAATGTAATTGTTTTGAATATAACATTACACAAAGTCTTTTTGTAAATCAAGGTGTTTAGTACAAGTATTGTACATTATTTTGTCAGACTTTACAGTCTTTATAGCACCTTGATTATCACAATAAATTGTAATGGGTGCTGATTCAGTCTACAGTACTTCTTCAGCAAATTGTTTGAGCCAAATGGCTTCTTAAGTAGTATACACTAGTGCTTGCAACTCTGCTTCATAAACAGATAGTGGTACCAGGTTTTGCTGTTTGCTTGACCAGGATATGGTTGATTTAGCTAATTGAAAGATGTAGCTGTTTATTGCTTTATGTCCTTCTATCATTTGTCTGTCTGTATCACAATAGCCTCATAGTTTTAAGGCATTTGTGCTTCCAAGTTGAAACCAGCAATTTGTTGTATATTTTAAATATGTAAAGTAATGTTTCACTACTTTATAGTAATACATTTAGGGCTTTTGTAAGTAGTGTGCTAATTGCCCAGTAATATAAGATATGTCTGGCTGTGTGCAATCTGCAACATATCTTAACAATCCTACCATATTCATGTATAGTATTGTTTCATTATTACTTTTGTTTGTATTGTATGTATTGTTTGTATTGTTAGATAGATCTATTCTAGGAGTAATAGGTGTTTGTAGTGCCTTTTTGTTTCAAAG